TGATCTCTGAGATAGAAACCTATTCCTCAACAAGAGTTTAAAGCATGTTACTACAGACAATCTCCAAGACTAATAGGAATTTAGTCCAGCTGTAACTCGCAGTGAACAAGAGAACAACAATTCTGAAACACCAAAACGGGTCTGTTCCTTTTTGAAGTGAAACAGAAGAGCATCCAAAGCTGATGCACCCTGGATAACAAGGAAGTAAAAGATAAAACAGAAAAAGAAGCTTGATTTCAAATGGCAGGTGGAAAATTCTTTTATATCCAGGAAGAGTATGGACAGAACAAGAGACGTTAATGGGAAAGACAAAATGGGATTGAAGATTTGCAGGCACTATTGAGGAAAACTCCTAAAGCATGTTATAAACATTCAAGTGTAAGGAGTTGACTGAGGAGGAAAAAGTTGAGCTTTTTAAACTGCAAAGGAAAATGGAGGGCATGGCTAATATATTGCACATGTACTTGTACTTGTCATTTGTTTCTTTTGAGAAGACTGAAATAAATTTTGTATAAATTGACAAGATAACAAAAATAGCAAAGATTTTCTAAAAAAGTTTAGCATTACTGAAAGTTGGAATGCGTTATATACTGATGAAGAAAACAAAGATAAAAATAACAGCGGCTCTTTTGTTAAACTTTTTTCAGTCTTTTCTGGGTACAGGAGTGGAGAGTTGCTAATCTTCTATCACGATTAAAGAAAGGGGATATAAAAACCAGGATATTTGGAGTAACACTAGTAGTGGGGACATTATTGGAAAATAAGTTCCAAAGAAGAGTCAGAACATTTAACTCTGCTTTCTCTTCGCAGATATGCCAAGTCTACTCAGTCTCTGCAGCAATTTATGTTTTTTCTTTTTGGATACTATTGTCAGGGTCAAAGCTCCATTTGGAAAAGGCATGGGTAATCGAGAGTTGATGTGGTTCTGCTAAAGGCAAATCATAGCTCAGTGATTTAATAGAATTTCTTTGTAACAATATTGATAAGTAATTCAGTAGATAATGTATATGTGCAGTTCCGGACTGCATCTGACAAAATGCTACAAGCTTATGGAATGAAGGGGTAAGGGGCAACCATGGTAGGAATTGAACAGGATTGAAAATATGGTATTCATAGAATCCCTACAGTGTGGAAACAGGCCCTTCGGCCCAACAAGTCCACACTGACCCTTGGAGCATCCCACCCTGACCCATTCCCCTGTAACCCACCTAACACATCCCTGAACACTATGGGCAATTTAACATAGCCAATCCACCTAGCCTGCACATCTTTGGACTGTGGGAGGAAGCCGGAGCACCCGGAGGAAACCCACGCAGACACAAGGAGAATGTGCAAACTCCACATAGACAGTCGCCCAAGGGTAGAATCAAACCAGAGTCCCTGGCGCTATGAGGCAGTAGTGCTAACCACTGAGCCACCGTGCCGCCTTTTGGTATTGTTTGGATGTTCCTCAGACTGAGGTGCTTTGTGGTGGTAAGTGAAAAGTCAGTTTCTTAGGTTTTCTGAACAATCTAGATGGAAGTATAGGAAAAACAGTAATATAAAAATTTGCAGATGGTACATATCTTGGCAAAATAGATGATGTTAGAGAGTCCAAGATGACTAAGAGGATCCTGAAACGGGAAGAAGCTTGCTAGGTACCATTCACTGTGAATAAATATCAAGCAGTGCAATTTGGGAAAGCTCTTATTGAAAGGCGTTACACTCAAAATGATATCATTTTGATAAGTGCTCATGAGGAGAGACTTTGTTTTCAAGTACACAAATTCTTAAAGATGAGTTGAAAATTTTTAAAAAGACTTTAAAACTTATGAATTGCTTGGGATTATAAATAAAAATACCAGAAGAAAAGATTATGCTGAAACTTTATAAATCGCTGTAAAATCCTTTGGCTCTGGTATTGTGGCTGATACTGAGTACAATACTTAAGGGAAATAGTGACAACATTAGAAAGGACACAGAAAAGGTTTGCCAGGTTGAGGGAATTCAGTTATGAGGAGAGGTTGAAAACATTAGGACTGCTTTCCTTGGAACAAAGAAGGTCCATGATCTCCATGTCACCATGATCTTGGAGATTTTCAAGATGTTGAATTCTGATAGTTGACAAAGAAAATTTTCCTTTTGAGTGGATAACTAGACATTAAAGTTTAAAACCTCTTTAAAGATTTGAGGGAAGATGAAATAACCCAGTACGGAGCTGGAGGAACACAGTCGGCCAGGCAGCATCAGAGGAGCAGGGAAGTTGATGTTTCAAGTCGGGACCCTTCTTCAGAATTTCCCAAAAAGTCAACTTTCCTGCTCCTCTGGTGCCTGGCCTGCTGAGCTTCTCCAGCTCTATATTGTGCTCACAAGATGAGGGCATTGCTGGCTAGGCAACATTTATTGCCCAGAGGGCAGTTCAGAGTCAACCACATTACTGTGGGACTGGAGTCACATGTAGACCAGACCAGATGAGGATGGCAGTTTCCTTCCCTAAAGGACATTAGTGAACCAGATGGGTTTTTTCCGACAATCAGCAATGGCTTCATGGTCATCATTAGGCTCTTAATTCCAGATTTTTTTGAATTCAAATTCCACCATCTGCCATGGTGGGATTCGAAGCCGGGTCCCCAGAATGTTATCTGGGTCTCTGGATTAACAGTCCAGTGATAATACCACTACATCATTGCCTCCAGCATCTGCTGTTCTTACTATCTCTGGGGGAAGGTGAAGATGTCTTTTTGTTAGGATTTGGGATGTCTCGCTTGATAAATTTAGTGGGTGCTGATTTTGTAAATAATTTTAAAAAGGGTTGGGCAAAAATTTGAGGATGAGGCACTTGCAGGGTCACGTACAAAAATCAGGCGTGAGATGGCATATATCTGGTTGGCTGAATGATCTCTACCGCATGTTCCTACGATTCTGTGAATTTGATTGCTGTAGCAAAAGTTAAATAGTGCTTAAGTTGTACAGATTTGTGAATCCGTATCTGTATTAATTATTTTCTAAAGCTGAATTGTGGTTTAGCACCGATCTTGCGTCGAGATGTACATTTCGTAGGCTAAATGCATAGCTGAGAATTACAACGGTTTTATTTGGGTGCAGTTGATATGTATCTTCTTGACTTATTTCACTTTTTAAGCAATTTATTAGTTTTGGATCACTCTTCCATTGTTATGTTAAGCTCCCCTTTTGTTTTCTCATTCCTGCTTTTAGGGAGGAGTGTTCTGAAATAATCTAGTTTCTTCCACCTCAAAGTCATAATAGTCTAGTTTCATGAATGGAGCTGGAGATGCACTGATCTGTTATGAGTATTTAGTATATTTCTATCGAATTCATGTGTCTGCTGAATGGAGTTAATTGTTTTATGTAAAGAGCTCTGTTAAAATAGTGAGAAAGAGGGTTGCTGTCTATGACCTCTCAAAGTATTTTGCAGCTTATTTCCGGCAGAAAATTAAACGTGTCACACAATCTAAAAAAGTAAATCTTATAAGCACTGGAGCTAAGATAATCAAGAGTTGATGAAGTGCTTAATTTGATTTATACTATATCTCATTATGTAATGGATTTCATAAGGATTTTACACGGTGGATGGAGTGAAAGAAGTGTTTGCAGCTGGAATAATGCCCTCTAAATAGAAAATCAAAATCATGCTGGGGCTTTTGTGATGCTGTGGTAGTGTCCCTGCTTCTCAGCTAGGAGTCCTGCAGAGAGATCAACATCTCTGAACAGATTAATTTGAAAAAATTCAAGAAAAATTATCCTCCTGCTCTGCCTTACCCCTTGCTTGTTTGAGATAGATTACTTGTTTTACCTCCCAAAAGTTAGTGTGCTTATGTGGTGGAAAAGTAGGAATGATCGAAATCTCGAAACACATGCATGTAGTTGGTGGGCTAGTCCAAGATGGCAGCAGAGTAGGACTCCTGTGCCAGAGCTCATCCGCTCTGACTGCTTTTCTTTTCTTACATTTTTCTACATTTTCCCTCCTCCTTTTCTTTTTTAACTCGCCTCCTCCCTGAACTTGGAGGGCCTTGGCAGCAACGAAGTCCTGCACACGGACCTTGAGCAGGGACCAGAGTACGGAGGAGAGTAAGACCCTAATTAACTTTCCGAAGTAAGCACAGGACCTGGAATCAACGGCTGCTAAACCTGCAGAGGCATTGTTGACAAGATAAGCTCAGCAGCAAAAGATGGTGCCTGAGGATCAGCAACTTGATTGTTGGTTGGTTCGGCGCAGGAGGCAACGAAGCAATGGCGGAGTACTGGACCAGTGGTAAAGGTGGTGCCTGAGGATCAGTGACTTGATTGTTGGTTGCGTCTGGTGTAGGTGGTGGCGCAGACTTCATTGACAGTGATGAGCTGGCTCAGGACTGATGGACTCTCCAAGCTATATATTTTTTCCATGCCTTAAATCATTCAAAACAGCTCATTTCGTGCCGACCAATGAAAGCTTTCATTGTATTTTGTTGTTTTTTTACTGTAAGATACATGTGACAATAAAATCAGAATCAAAATTAAAAGGAAATTGTGGACAATCAATGTCCTCTCTGATGCAGAATGTGATTTTAAATATTTAGAATCGGGTTACTTTCCTTATTTTGACCATTTGAAATTTAAACATGGCTGCATTTTTTTGAGAATCTGGGAAACTTTCACCTAAGTCGAGATGACCCTATGGGTCAGGAGGTAAATGTCTGTCCTTTTTACCAGCCCTCAATTGCTGATGCCTCCGATTTGACCCCACCTCGATATTGGATAATACCATAAACTGTCACTGCTTAAATTGGTTGGTCAAAGACTAGTGGCCCTTGTACAATGGTGTACCTCATTGTTTGAATTAGGCACACCTTGTGCATCTGATAGTTCAACAAAACTGTCAGACTGACAATGTGACCACATGTTGTGACATAGCATGAGGAGTAACAGAACATTGCTTTTAGATTTGAATTTTAAAATCTATAATCTTAAAAGAATTGGTGCCTTAAACTTTGCTGTTAATAAACATTTTGGATTCTGTGCAGGAGGAATTATTATGGAGGCAACTGGGCCAGTTTTAGCTTTTCTGGATTGCTGTCTTGGATCACAGAATGCAAAGTAAGTTAAGTTTTTTTTTTTTTTATTTAGAAGCTTGTGTGAAATATTGCAGTATGCAACTTAGTATTTGAAATTTCTGGAGTAAGGTGAACATAAATATATGTTGGATATATGTTCTAACTATTAAAAATTTGTACATGAAACAAGTATCCACTTCATCTAGAAAAAACATTTTCTGATTTGATCACTTTGATTAAAATGGTACACTGCTGTGGGACATTAAAGTACGTTTTAGACTGGCTGCCTGATTTTTGTGTATCCTCCTTTTACAAAACTCGGTCATGTTGGAAGTTTTGCTTTTCTATTATTTTATCTCCTGTCCAGAATATGCTTTCAAATCTAGGTTAGTCGTAAAATGAATCCATGCAGTTGTGCCAAGTTAGTATACCAATATGCTGTCTGTGAAATTTCAGGGTGTGGTCCTGCTTGCTTTTAAACCGCAAGTAATATTTCCAAGCATGCTACTTATCTCTCAATCAGGGAATGTCATAAGATTTATTGTACAGGAGCATAAAATTTGTCTGCAGCACACTGTTGTATTTCTGAGATCTGAGCTTGACTGTGGTTCAGGCTGACAGTGTCTTCAAGATCTCTGAAGGCATTTTTGCTCAAGGTTGCCCTTCCTTTCAGTTAGTAAAGGAGGAAAATATGGCACTTGTGAATTTTTTTTATTTGTTCAGGGTGGTGGCCATCATAGTGATGGCACTCTTATCCTGAAATTGTGCCCTTTTTCTAAAATCTCCAGCTAGGAGAATACCTGTCAGTGTTTGCTCCGTCGGAATTTTAGAATTCTAAATGTTTCACCACTCATTCTTCTAAAACTCCTGAGAGAATAAGCCCAGCTTACTCACCTCTGTATTCATTGGATAGGAATGAATACAATAGCCCTGTCTTTTCACGGACCAATCTAGTAACCTTTTACTGTATTTATCTCCAATACAAATGTAAATATGGAGACAAATTGCACACAGTATACCAGGTATGATCATATCAAAACTATGTACAGTTGTGGCGAAACTTGTTATTCTTGTACTCCAGTCCCTTAACGATAAAGGCCAACATGCTGTTTGGTCTCCTAACTGCTTGTTATACTTATGTGCCAATTTGTTTTTGTGATCTTTGTGTCTGAGCACATCCAAGTCTCTCCGAGCATCAAAATAATACAAGGTTCACTGATTTTAAAATTTGTTTTTAAAATTTCTTATGAGCAAACTCAATGACGTCGCACTTTTCCCATACTCCATTTGCCACCAAGTTGCCCGTTCACCTAATCTGTCTCTCTCTGTTTGCGTCTCTCTCTGTTTGCATCTCTCTGTCCTTCTCTTGGCTTGCATTCAAACCTAGCTTGGCACTATCAGCAAACTTTGACATGTTACTTTCTGTCCCTTTTTATTAAAATCATTGTAGATTGAAAACAGCTGATGTCCCAGCACTGATCCTTGTGGTATTCCAGTAATCAAAGCCTGCCAACTTGAAAATGCAGCACAAACCAATTCAGAAGTATGTGGTCTAAGAGGTGTGACAGCCTCCTGGAACAGAGTGTTGAGGAAAGGATGTTAGTGAACCAGATGTTTATTGCGACATTCAAGGGTTGTATCGTTGCATTGGGCCAGCATTTCATAGAATTCAGATTTAGCAGTCTGCCGTAGTGGGATTCAAACCCATGTCCCCAGAACATTTACCTGGGATTCTGGATGACTAATCCAGTGACATTGCCACTATGCCGCCGCCTCCCTTCAACATATTTCCAAATCAGAGATGGTGTGTAACTTGGAGGGAAATTTGCATGTGGTGGGGTTCCACCAGTCTGCCAACTTTGAATCTTTTAGGTGCTAGAGGATTGAATGGTTTTGTTGAAGGTGCACCAGCCTCATGAATTCCTTCTCTGAACGTTTTTTGGTTCCAACATGATGCTCAACCATCCTGTTCAGTAATATTTGCCTTCTCATCTTGTAGCTTTTATGTGTAACATTAACACAGCCAAGATAAACTTTACTTTTTTTGACACTGATCACTGATCTCCGATCTACGGTGTTTGGGGATACTGCTGTACTGTATGTTGTGAACAGCAGTGCAGATTGCTGAAATCAAATACTCCTTTAGTGTACAATCGCAGTAACTTTCTGATCTAATTAATTCTTCAAAATTTCAATTCAACTGATCAAACAGCATTTCGCAATTTCAAAAACTTTCCTACCTAACTTTCCCTCCCCCTCAGTCATGAAAACAACAATTGTACCTGCTTAATTTCTATAACCAGCTTCAAATGCTGGCAAACTTGTGTTAATCCAAAATTTTGAAGTCCAATTTAATGGATTGTTTATCACTGCCACCATTTCCAAATTTCATGTGTTCTCTGTTCCTCGGGTGTTGATTTAAGTCTTGGTTTTTAAATGTTTCAACATCTCATTCAGCTCTGCTGTTGGGTTTTGTCTTGCTGCTTGTCTCCTGCTTTGTCTGCTGTATTGATGTTCTTTGAGCTTTTTCGAAATGATGGAGCAGGATTGAATTGGGTACAGTTATTGAGTCATCATCATACAGCATGGGAATCGAATCTTTGGTCCAATTCTGTCTATGCTGACCATAATCCAAATTAAACTGGCCCCACCTGACTAGCCCGTATCCCTCCAAACATTTCTTATTTACGTACTTACCTAAATGTTGTAACTGTATCCACGTGCACCACTTCCTCCGGAAGTTCATTCCGCACACGAGCCACTTTTTTTTTTAAATTGCCCCTCATGTCTTTTTGAAAAATTTTTTTCATCTGTCCTTAAAAATATGTCCCCTACTCTTGATATCCCACACCCTAGGGAAAAGGCATCTACCATTCACCTTATCTATACCCCTCATTGTATAAACCTCTTAACCTCCAACGCTTCAGTGAAAGAAGTCCCAGCCTATCCATACTCTCCTTTATAACTCAAACTCTCCATTCCCGGCAGCAGCCTAGTAAATGTCTTTTGAGCCCCCTCCAGCTTAATAATATCCTTCCCATAACTGGGAGACCAGAACTGGAAACAGTACTCCAGGTCTCGAACCGTTCTGCTTCAGCGCTGCTTCACTGATCCTTTAGCCACTATACCACTGCTATGTGAAGCTTATTGTTTAAATCTCACAGCCTTGCCAGTTCTCAGTTCCTTCAAAAGCCACTTTTTAAAAAAAAAAAAAAAAATCCCTTCAAATGTGCTTATGGTTCGACTGTCCTATCACAATTCGGTGTTGTCTTTCTTTCATGTATTCTATAACAATTTTACAGTTGTGCCGATGAGCAATTACAAGTTGATGTACATAAATTATTTTGTGGCAATGCTAACTCAGTTTTAACTCATTTGTGCCAACAGTGTAAGTGTCAGTATTTCCGTATACATGAGCACAAAATTGGTAGTCTCCCAGAGAATTTGTAAGGATCGTTACAAGAAATATAAGTTCACACTGAAGTAGGTAGTTTTGTGACAAATTAGATGTTTACTTTGTATTGAGTATTTTATTAGTGTTAGTCTTTACCCAATTTTCTGTCCTTCTCCCTAAGTGGGAGAGGAGAATGGGGCAGAAGTGATTTACCAAAACTGGGTGTAAAAAAAAAAAAAAAAAAAATTGAGCTAATTGTTCTTTGGCTACTGGCCAACATGTCAGAAATTATCGGATCTTTTACTGGCTTTTATTTTCCTTGCTGTATTTTCTGATATAAAATACATTTTTGCTGAAAGCATCCATGACAGTGCAACTGTAGAGCTTCCAGGCTACTGCCATTCCTGTAACTTTTAGTGGTTGTAGGAAATGGGATATCTGCCAATTTGACCGTACATTGTCTAGCAACATTTATGCTACCAAACAATGATGTTTCTGACATTGTATGGCAATATGAAAAGAATGCATTATAGTCTCCTGAGTTTAAAAGTCATCTTTGCCACATATATATTAATGTGACGTGTATGCTATTTCTTTGCTACCTGTCCTAGTTTTTGGCCGGCTGACTTTTTTTCTTCTGGTTACGTTCCTGTGATGCATGCTGTGATGTTATATTACATTTAAAGCAATTATATTTTTGTGCACTTCCCATCGATAATATTCAGCATTGTTAAAATGGCTGCTCAAGTCCTGTGAAGCATAAATTAACACATGGAATATTATTTATGATTAGCTATGATGTTTCTGACTACATGAAGAATACACTTTAATGTTCATTTTTAAATTTGTTTAATTTGATAACAGATTGACAGGTGAAGTTAATTTTATTTCCTGTCACTGACCATTCAAAGGAATGACCTCCAGATGATGCATCTGTGTGACAATATTGGCAATATGCCCAAAACGCACAACGCTGATATCTTCAGCAATAATGCTTCCTTTTGTTTGTGACTAAATGTGTGTTATATATATTCTCTTGATCTTTTTGTATTCATGTTAAAACACAAATTTACTTTTATTAAAATCTTATGTTTTACCTGACATGCTCTTTGTCTTTCAATGAGAATCTACGTGAATTTACATTGAAAAAAGTAAGATAAACTAGCAATTTTGACACTGAATAAAAATTAATGTTAAAAAAGCTGGTGTTTATCAATACATTTTAGTTCCTCATGCTTTTACAGCTATGGCATGAAAATAATCCGCAATTGAATATTGTGGAATGCGTTTAGATTTTATGATTGAAAATGCTTTCTTCAACTTTTAATCCATAAACCCAATGAACGTATGATTAGTAATCAGATGATATTGAAAGCTTTGAAACACTGGCCTTTTAGACATGACAACTTTACTATTTGTTATTAGCAGTACCTTGCGTATACAGTTGCTCTTCTGTCAATTCTGACTTTTCATTAGTTTGATTTTCAACCCTTTATCAGGAACACACCACTGACATTACTGAAGCTGATTGGAAAGACCAGATACTGGAAGGGGAAGATGCCATTCAACTTGGTCTGGTGGATAAATCTACTGAGAATTTGGAAGTCTTCTGCTATGCAAGGTGTGTTTTTTAAAATGTTATGTTTTTCATTCATAGATTGCAGTCCACTAATTAGTATGTGGATGTCTCTCTCGCAGGAAGACATTCTCACTGCAAACATGAGTGTCAAATTTTATTTCAGAGATTGCCTGAAAATGTGAAATTGTGCACCTGTGCCTGCAATTTACCAAAGCAGAATGAATTTCTTCAAGTTTACAGCTGAAAGATAAGGAGAAGCAGAGGGATGAAGTTGCAAAAATTCAGCCTCAGTAGTTAGAAAATAACAATACAAGACTGACAATACAGGTATTTCTCCTATAAAACAATAGTTGCATTCTTGTGTGACCTCGTGCTATAGAAAATCACATTATTGGGAAATGGCTATAGAAAATCACTATACCTGTACAGCAGAAAAGTCACGTTATCCAAACAGCTTCCACTACTCATCAATCGCGTTACAGCCAATTCATGTTAACAAAACATGTGTTTCAGCAGAACTACCTGTATAGTAAAAGGTGTTTTTTGTAATCAGGAAGTACTCTGATCTGCACTGAGCTCAGCTAATTAACTTGCCTCATAATTTTCTTAACACTCTCTGGCTGCTCACATCCATATGCTTGCAGCTGTAAACCTGAAGGAACTCCTTGCTGTGGTAAATTGCAGGCATAGATGCACAATTCTAGATTTTCAGAATATTTCTGATATCACTTCCTGCTTTGCTAAAGAGTCATCCAAGTACTAAGAAGTCCTCTGAAATCTGTGTCAACATGAATAGTTGCTAGTGACTTTTTAATAAAGTTTGAGCTACTTCTGCAGTTTTGAATAGTAGAATGTAGAGCTGGTTTAAAATTGAAACTTGTTACTGTTGTATGCTTTCTACTTGATTTTCAAGTTCAAGTTTTAGGCGTTATTATCTCACCTGGCAAGATATGACTTCGATCCATGTGTACAACCTGTACAACAAGAAATCTGGAAAGCCAACCAAGAGATTTGCATCAGACGTTGTTCATCAAAGTCTAGATTTGCTTTCTTTCATTACCAGTAAACACATTTTAAGGCTGATTCTCCTTTTGTTGTTTAAAGATTTTTTGTTGCTTTCTGAAAATAAATGTAGACAAGTAGTTTTAGCCCATGTATTTTCCTGTGTTGACATGATGATGTTCTCTTTTGAAAGAGACAGTGGTGAGCACATCTCATAGTTGATAATAATATTCCCGGGTTAGAAATCAATTATTAAACCGAGGGATCTCAAGCACCTGTATGGTTAAGAACCCAGATTTCTGCTTCTGGGACACCATCTATATAAAATGTCTTTATTCTGTTGTCACAAGACAAATGTCATGAGCACAACTCCACCATTAGTGATCTACTACTTTTTTAATATAGCCATGACTACTTAAAGTCTTATGTTCTGACTTTAGTTCGAGGTTGGTTGGTTGGTTGGTTGGTTGGTTGGTTGGGTGTTTCATTTCACTTACACTTTGGCTGCTGGCCTAAATCTAGGTGCCGGTTGTTCAAAGCTGTTATTTTTTGAAAAAACTTTGTTATACGTGATATGCCATTGTCTAAATCAAAGACAATTTTGTTTTTATTTTGACTGGTTCTGTCTGCAAAGTTCTTGATCATATTAGTACATTTTGATGAACTTGAAGCCTTATTGTGCCTTTTAAGCTAAACTTAATTATGTTTAACTGATCTCTCACATTCATGTCGATATGAAAATTAAACTTTGCAATCACTCCTGGCATGTTTTTGTTGATAACCCAAATTATATTAGATATTTTTGTTTTATTTCACAAGACCTAATTTCCAAGTGGAAAAGAATGGGCAATGTATGCCATTATTTTATGCGTCAGTTGGCCAAGAAATTCCTCATGAAAACCAAAGTTTATTCTCCTGGGCAGTGAATATCTTGGTGAATCAATATCTGACAACTTTAATGCTGGATCCCAAGTGTGGTCTGTATACATATTTTCATCAGGAATATATTCTAGAAGAAGGATGTAACATGAAATCCTGCTTTGGAATATTCTTGCCTACATGATTAAATGAAAGATGTTGAATTATCTTTTTGATTTTTGTCTTTTTTTTGGTACTTCAAAAATAAATTTACACTTTGTCCTTGTTTCCCTTTCCAATATCTCAGATTTGAAATGCCTGATGCTTGGGGAACTTAAAATTACTTGTTGAATTTATGAAGTTATCTATTGTATATCTTCCATTATCAAGATGAGCTGAGACTGCCACCAAACTTTACATTGCAAAACAAAGACAACATCAGAAGTTCTCCACCGTCCTTCTCAGTTCAATGGCTCACTGCAAAGTTTTATGAAGATAGGCTTTCAACCATTGTGCTTCATCCCTTCAGTACAGTATCCGATTTATTTTTGAATGTCTTTTTTTTTTTGGAATTTCACCATTACTACACACCATTCCACTTTAAGAAGAATCTCCTTTATCAGTTCTAATTCCCTTTTATTGATTTGAACCTGTGACCTCACGCCATAATTTTCTGGAATGTAGCATGGGGATGAAATTGTGTTTTGTGCTATTTCTGATTTTGTATTTTGCTTTATATTTGATAGCACGATTACAGAGGAAGATGTTATCGAAGTAGGAGCTCTTGAAAATAAGCAATCGAATGTGGGTTCTGGCACTGCAGCAGAGAATGCAGTAGTGAACAATCAAGATGAGAAAAATCAAGCACACACAGGTTTAAGCAGTGGTGATGCAGAATCTCCTCTAGAAAACCAAGATTCCTCACTCTCAAAGGAGGAAGTTTTTGCTGAGAAAATTGAATCTGAGAACAAACCATGTTCTTACAATATTCCTTCGTCTGCAACCACTGAAATATCTCTGGACACGAAAGAGGTTGCTGATAATATGGCTGCAGTTGAGGTGGAAGCTGGCAATGTAAATCAAGCTACTGATGCCTCTACTCAAAAGCTGAAGAAAGAAGAAAAAATAACGACTTATTCACAAATTATAAAGAATGGCAGGAAATTTAACATCGACTTGACCTCAAAGGTAGCAATTTGATTTTGCCCATTAATTGTTCAAGACATTCACACAAACTTCCTAATTCAGTTTATAACTAAAAATAAGACTTGAGATTGGTTCGGTTTGCTTGTAGGTAGGGCGTTTGTTTTCTTATTACTTTCCCTCTGTTATTTCTCTGAGCCATCAGTGTTGTCTTCACTGGTGGGAAGAAATGATGGACAACTAATTTGCAAAAGTATTTGCTTTCTACTTTGAGATTTCTAATCTCGCTTTTTATAATCCTGTAAAAGTGAGATCAACAAAGGAGTATTGAGTATTTCTTAGTGTGAAGTACTTTTTGTGCTCTGTATAAATTCAAATATGAATAAGATTTATCTTGTTTTGAGAGAACAGCAAATTCATCTGTTTCCTTTCAATGCTATAATACTGGAAATATATAGATGTGATTTTCTATCAAGTTAATATTTTTTGGTATAAATTCTGATGTGATGGAAAAAAAAACCCTAAACCTTGATGGAATCTGTGACCATTAATGTTCTGAAAATCAGAGTTTCAAGCCTGTCCAAATGTAACTCAGTATGTTTGTATTCTTCCAGTTTTTGTATTCCTGTGGCTCCTTGGTCAATCTTCTTATCAAATCCAATGTCAGTCGGTATGCAGAATTCAAAAATATTACCAGGATACTTACTTTTCGAGGAGGAAGTGTTGAACAGGTATTTGACCATTTTTCTTAATTGTTTCATGAAATTAATAGATCTTGTCAAATGCATGAACCCCAGTGCATTTTCTATCTAGGGTGCCTTAAATTTTAGGCTTAAACTGGCTCCGTGTGCCAGTCCGTTGTGGATTATATTGCAAATATTTTAGGTGCAAGTTGCTAAAAAAAACTACTTAACAGTATAGAAGGTAAACAGTCATCGAGCACAACTTTGCACGCTTAATAAAAGTACAGGAAGTTCTGCTATAACACAATAGTTGCATTCCTGTGCAACATAGCATTATAGAAAATCGTGCTGTACAAATAACAGTGCCTATAGGAAAAGCAGGGTTGGGGCAGACCACTGAAAAATATCACTCAAAATTCTCCCTCACCACTTTCTGATATTGGCGCCATGCCTGTCACTTGTGTGAACCTTGACACTTGTAATCAAATAAACATAATCTGTGTCACAGCCTAGCCCATTGCTGATCTGACCTGACATTCCATCAGCACAGACTTTTGGATAGATTTTCAGATAAGTGAAGCAGAGGAATCCGACCTTTCTTTCCTATGTAGCCCATTGACATTGAAGTTAATTGTAGGTTTAAAATGCATTATAAACCTGAGTAACATTTGTATTCAAAATAGTGCTAGAAAAGAGCAGGTTCTAACACAGACAACTTACGGTATACATGATTTACATGAACAAGTTCCAAAGTTCTTAAATATTAAATCTGTAACAAAATCTAGGCAAACTTACTACACAAAAAGCTGCATGTTTTAACAGCACTCATTATTCTAAACTAAACTTTTTTTTTTTGCTTTTAATGTGTTCAGCCATAAACTCTTCAAACTAAGACTTGACATATTTTCGTAATAAGATGGTTGTCCTCTGTGTGATAACATATTTGAAGTTTATGACATTCAATCCAATTACCTCTTTTTAAATGAGCTCATTCAGACTTATTCAGATATAGTAAGAACTGCCGATGCGGGAGTCTGAGATAACAGTGTGGAGCTGGAGGAACACAGCAGGCCAGCTGACCCGAAATGTCAGCTTTCCTTCTCCTCTGATGCTGCCTGGCCTGCTGTGTTCCTCCAGCTCCACACTGTGTTGTCTCATTCAGACTTATTCTGAACACTTACACCATCTGCAAGGATTGGTGGGGGGGAAAAAACAAAATTTTCCTTTTGACAAAGCCCGCAATTTCGATGCGTACTCGATTGAATCATGTTATAGCCAACACAAATTTGTGTTTTGGAAACAGCATTCCCTTATTTGTCAATCACGTTACAGCCAATTCACATTGCCGGAACGCACGTTATAGTAGAACCCACTGTAAATACAAACTTAGAATTATAAATTTGGAAAGGGTTTCTTTTGACTACCATATCTGGGCCCAACTGCACAACTTTGTTGTATAGCAAATATGCATGCTGTGCTTTTACTGACAAAATAGCAAAATATCTAACTTGTATTTAGTTTCTCTCTGTCTTTTGTGTCCCAGTTATGTTATCAGGCATTGTAATAATCTAATATGTTTTTAAAAGCAGGCAGTCATGTTTTGACTGAAAGCTGCTGAATTATAAGGGACAAAGGGGAAATGTAGAACTCTGTGCTTAGTTTCTGTATCTGCATATATTTTCAGGGGATTATGGATCTGGTCTCCAAGTCTTGCTGTTCACTCATATCTTTAAAAATCTTTCCATTTTATGTGTATTTGCTTTTTCTATTTTTGCTCCCCCAAATTGTATGACCATTCAGTTTGTCAAGCTAAATTTCACATGCTAATATTAAGCCCATTATCATAAAAATGTTTGCATCATGCTAAATTTTCCTATCGTCCTCCTCACTCGTTGGTGTTATTGACCTATCTCCAAGATTGTGCTCTCTCTGTCCATGTCAAAGTCATTTATAAAGACTAACAGTAAATGTGATTAGAAATTGAATGGAAAGGCAATTAAATGAAGAGAAGCCCTGTTAAGGGAGAAGTGAGATAGGGAGCGAATCTAGAAGGCAGGCAGAGATAGGTGAGTGCACATAACTTATAATTTGAATTCCTCTTCAGAGTTGAGTATCTGATTGATCTATTTGAGGTTCATGCAGCCATTCATCAAAATACTCAGAAATGTTAACTTAGCTAGTGCAATTGTAGTTAATAGCCCATAAACTGTTGGAAGTATTTATAGCTGACACATAACCCCAAATAGCTCTCAAACCCACAAAGTAAAAATGAAGGCTCTACCTCAGCATAAGTAGAGAAGAAGCAATACATGAAGTCAGCTTTTCTCATGGTACTGCCTGATGAGAGCTTCTGTTCATCACCAACACTCCTTTCTTTGCAGTTTTTGCTGTTGAATTGCTACTTCTGTCTCAAACCTTTGCATTTTAGTAAATCTAAGATTAAATATTTTCAATTAGCTGTACTATCCTTGTCTGTAGGTATTTTTAATACGTGGAAGAATGATTGATTATTTATAGAAAATAGTGTTGATAATTCTTCAAGGATTAGTATTGTTATTAGCAAAACGATCAGTTAGATATTAAAAATTGACACAGCTGGTTTCCGCAGGAAGTATTACGTTTTGACTAAAATAAGGGCTGATGTGGCCGAAGTCAAAAGCTTGTTGCCTTTTTGCAATATCTGTACGTGATATTTAGTCTCAGTCAAAGTATAGTTAAATACTACTAGTTGGCAACTTAGTCGCCTTAAGCCCTTAAATAATCAAAGTTTCACATCATGGAAATAACAGCTATACAATCTTTATTTATTGTGTCCCATGTTCTTTGATGCTATATCCAAATAAATCTCCGATCTGTGATTTTCAAACTTGTTTTGACTCAAAGTTTCTTTATATCCAGAGTATAACCTAGGCTATTAGTTACCAGGAACAAATGATAAATTGGCTGTGTTTTTCTTTTATTCTGCTGTTTGAGGCGATTTTGTGAACTCTTTTGGGGGGGAAAAAAAATTATGGCTTTATTTATGTCAAATTATATTTACAAGTCATCATAGCCAAAGCCTAAAGTGAGGTGCTCATTGTTTTTATGGTTTTCTTTTTCTGAATATGTACCGGGTGGATAAATTAACTTTTTCTTCCTCTTGCAGATGCTTTAATGGACATGGACAGAAGCATCTTAGATTGCATGTTCCAGGTCTATGTAGCCAAGAAGTGTTATGACTGCATTGCTTTGTCTTAACAGAAATAATAGCCCAGGTTTTCTGATGGTCAGACAGCAGTGGAGACTCTGTAGAGTCCCTGTCATAATGGACGCTGAAGGAATTGCCCAGGAATTCAAAGATTCCACTGGGGACTACCCCTATGCTTGAAACCATCATCTGATTTAAATGATTTGGAGGGATCTCATGAAATTAAATAAATAACCACTCGGGGAAGGTTAGACTGTTAAATATCCTAACTTCTGAGAAAGTGTTCAGCTGACTTCCCGTGCAACCAACACCCTCAACTATACCTCTCCTGGAACCCCATACCCCCGGTTCCTGACCTGACATCCCCTCCCTTCCCCCAGGACCCAGCACATCTCTTCCCCGCCCCCCGCACCAAACTCTGGACTTGATCTACCTCTACCTCCTCCACACCTTCAAGACCCACTCCCCTTTCCCCAACCACCACCTCCGGGTCCAACTTGACTCATGCTTTGCCTGACTCCCAAAAGAAGTGATATATCTCTCCAATTCCCATCCAGCCTAAACACGACATCACGTACTGCCCACCTGGCACTCAATCTGCCCAGCATCTGACCCAGCATGAGATTGCCACTTGTCAGAAAATCAAGCTCAACACTTGTTACTGAATTTGCCTGCTGGTGCAGGCAGTTTGGTGACGCTTGATGATGGTGATGTCGGAAATAATTCCTGTAAATGTAAGATTTGTTATTTTGATTACCAAATCGGCCCTTTCTAGCAACTGAACTGTTGGGAGCTGACGTTTTTAGTTAGTTTGGCTTTATTTGAGAAGGTAACAATTATTGTGTAGGTGATGATTTTTTAAGTTGGGATTTTGCTTGACCATTAATAACGCAGGAATGTGGTTGACGCAGTAGAAAAGGGCACCTTCATAAACACAACAGTTCTTTTGACTATTATCCAACCGATATAGTATTGGAAATATTTGAATTGTGATCTCTCATTTCAAATCTGCCCAGCATATGACTGACACAGCATACTTGATGAGCCAGACTTCACTTATAAATTAGGCACATTATGAATATTTCTTCTAATAAGACATTAGGATATGTTCAAATTGTTGTCAGCACCTGATTGTTACCAAAGGTAGTATAATTAAATGTTATAAAATATCTCTCTTTTGCTGATTGAAAGGAAAATTCATCAAAGCAACAAAATTAACCATAACTCAAAATCTAGACCATAAAGAATTACTTACTGCTGCACTTCATTTTTAGAATTCACAGAACAGTCCATAAAATTGTGATGAATTAGCGACATTGTGGTAATTTCCTTGAGTGGTTCACTTAAAAATTGTTGAACTTGCTAAGCTGCAAAGCAATTTGTACGTTACAGTAGTCATCTGAATCTACAAAGGTACCTTGTTTAGCAATTTTATATTTTTAAGAAGATGTAGATATTTAATTTTAGGCTTGATCTAAGTAAATCTGGCTCACTAAAGACTAATTTGCTGCGATGCAGTACTCTGCGCATGTGATTCAAGGGCAAAGGAGTTACAGGAATTTTGGTGTTTAGTATTTATTTTGAAATGCAGGTTAACTTTGGAGTCCATTACTCTGAAACCTGTCTACAAGGTCTGCTCGTTAGCAGTTACAGGTATTTTAAGATATCCTGGGAACTGGAAATAATCTTCATACCAAAAGGACGGTTATGGTTGATTGTGTCTTGCATCAGGAACTGCTGTTTGACGGCTTCTATTTGAATTCTGTGCCTCTTGTATTTTCTAGAACTGATGGCTTACATTTTCATTGTATTCTTTCCAGGCTAAAATTTATTTTATCTTACCTTTCCCCTCATTCTTAGGTACCATGTTCCAGAGCTGACGTCTTTGCCAGCAAACAGCTCACGATGGTGGAAAAACGAATGTTGATGAAATTTCTTACTTTCTGTTTGGAATATGAACAACACCCAGATGAATACGTAGGTACTGTACTTTTATGACTAAGGTCACCCTTTAAAGTTTTAAAGTTTCTGCCATTGCGCTCGAGGAACTGTGCGTTCACTGCAGACTTAATTTTATCTACATATCACCTGTTGTTTTGTATACTGATCTACAGCTTTTTGAAAAAACTGTGATTTATAGGATACTGAAATACACAACTTTAATTGTGTTATCTTCCATGTTCAAGTATATTTTAGTAATAATCTGTTTCCTTTTAGAACTCTTCCTGGCTTACAACGTATATGTATGTCAACTTAATGAAATTATCTTCAAGGGGTATTAAATAAGGCTATATGATACTGTGTAATATCATTGTTCTTATTTTTCATATTGCAGTCCTGCATTAATGGCTGTTGGTTTTTAAGTTTTTAATCCTTAGATTGTTGGTGTCTCAAAGAAAACTATGCCCGCCCTCTCCCCCCGCCCCCCCCTCCTCCCCCCCCCCCCCCCCCCCACCCCGTCCCCCCCCCGTCAAGCAACTGAGGAAATTTTCAAGTCATGTGCTATGATTCCATAGCAAATGCTATTATTACGGTGCTCAAGTTTTTTAAAGCCGTTTGTAGCTAAATTGTTAAACCTAACGGCCTCAAATACGTGATTTGAAATAAAACGTTTAGACAATTTTAATGATGTGTACCTTTTTTAATCTTGATGTTTGGTTACTCATTTCATTCTCCATCTCACAATTCCCTCTTGCCTGCTAGCTTTAATTGCTAAGGTGTGAGGCAACTTGACCACTTCAAATGTCTTCCACTCCTCCTCTAGCTAAATATTTTGTGGAGAGAGGGATTTTTTTTTTGAGAGCACCACTTCTATTTCTAGTCATTTTTGACCTTAGATCTTTTAGAACCAACAAACAAAACGCATTTGATACTTAAGTCAAAATATCAAATCTGCAAGTTGGTTGAATGAAACAAAATATGAAGTAAGTTGTTTGCTGTTGTTAATCCACAGACTTCAAGGACAGTAGATTTTCAGATTATTTGAAGACAAAAAAATTAACTGCAAATCTACAGCATTTCGTTCTACATTCCATCGCTATGGTCTCTGAAACTGCTTTGACCCCTGAGGGACTCAAAGCAACCCAACACTTCCTACAGTGCCTTGGACGCTATGGAAACACACCGTTCCTCTTTCCCTTGTATGGTGTTGGAGAAATACCACAATGCTTCTGCAGGTGCGTGAATTTCATTCTTGATACCTGAAAATTGCAATTCTAAAATTGTTTATATGGTTTCATAGTTTTCTAACATGAGATTTGCATGACTTCCAGCAAATGTCTGAAGTTGGTACAAAACAGTTCAAAAAAGCTTTGGTTATGTTAAAGTTGGGCAGTACTTTTAGCATATTTTTGTAAATTTAGAAATTGATGAGCAATATGTGAATGTTACATCACCTGGTTAAAACTTGGTGTGTCTTCTAAAATCATTGACAGCATAACATAATAATGAGGGAAGGTGATGGCCGAGTGGTATTATCACAGGACAGTTAATCCAGAGACCCAGATAATGTTCTGGGAACCTGGGTTTGAATCCCACCCTCTAATGATGACCACGATTCCATTGTCGATTGTCAGAAAACCCCATCTGGTTCACTAATGTCCTTTAGGGAAGGAAACTGCCATCCTTACGTGGTCTGACCTAGATGTGACTCCAGACCCACAGCAATGTGGTTGACTCTTAACTGCCCTCTAGGCAATTGGGATGGGCAATAAGTAGTACCTAGCCAGTGATGTGCTCATCCTGTGAATGAATAAAGAAAAAAAATTGAAGCATGAATGATCTACAGTTTTACTCACCAAATACATGTTCGTTTAAAAGAGTGAAACCAAATTTAGTTCAGAAGTAAACTATTAATTATTTTAAACCTCTTGTTCATCTGTTTGTTCCCCTACTTGTATCCAAAGCTATTTCTGCAATATAGATTAATGTTAGATAAAAACGAAAAGGGCTGCAGATGCTGTAAATCAGGAACAAAAACAGAAATTGCTGGAAAAGCTCAGCAGGTCTGGCAGCAACTGTGAAGAAAATCATCAGTTAACATTTCAGGTCCAGTGACCCTTCCTCAGAACTGCTTTAGATTAATGTTATTTAGAAAGTAGTTCATTTGATGAAAATTGAACATTTCTATTTAACTTTTTGCCTTTATTTCACAAAATGTGGCTATTGCTGGCTGGGTCACCATTTTTTTTTTTTGTCTAGCCCTAATTGGTCTTGTGAAGACAGCAGTCCTTAAACAGCTGCTTTCCATAGTGCTGTTTAGAAGAGAATTCCAAGATTTTGACTCAGCAAAATTAAAGGAAAGCCTGCCTTAATTACTCGAGCTGTGATATAAAGTTTCTCCTCGCATCATATTTGCAGCTTTTGCAAATCAGTTTAAGTCTGGATGCTTTTGCCCCTAGGTGGCTCACTAAACTGTTTTCAGAGGATACTTGAGTTGACCATGTTGCTGTGGATCTGGAGTCACATGTAGGAAAGATAAGGATGGCAGATTTCCTTCCCTAAAGAACATTAGTGAACAAAATAGTTTTTTACAACAACTAATAATTATACCGAGGCTACCTGGGATTTATCAATTGAATTGAAGCTCCACGTGCTGCCCTGATCTTTAATCAGTGTCCCCGTCGCTTTAGCCTGGGCCTTTTGATTTCTGGTCTATTGACATGACCCTATTATTTATTACACTACAGACTCCTTGGTTCACTTTTTTGTAGTTAAAATATGAAGATTTCAAGTTCAAAATTAATTACGTGTGAGGATGTTGCACAGGAATTACTGCATGTTCAGAAATGTGTATGTTGGTTATTTGAAGACATCTTGTATTTTACAGTTGATCCTTATAATTTGTATTACAGTGAACAAATTAATTTGTAAAATGTATAGAAAAACTGCCTGAAACAGGTTTGCTTGTCCCAGATTACAGATGTAATTTCCAGAAAATTTATGATTAACTTGAGTGAGATTTTACATTAGTAGTGTCTGAATTTTAAGCATTACTGATTGGACCTTCAGACTGACGTAATTCAGTTGTAGAATTACGGTCCTAACCTTTCAAGTATTTTTATCTGTAGTTTACTTTAGTCAGTAGCTTTGGAAGGAAGTGGCTATTAGGTGGTAGGATTAATCTTGTGCTGCTTTATTCAGATTAAGAAGTCATTTGTTGCAGGATGTGTTTTCAGGTAAATCATGAGCAAAAATCTAAATTGTTGCTTGGCTGCTTTAAAATGTAAACCTCTGTGAGAGAGATTGATGGGGCAGAGAAAGGTTACTGTTATGTTGAGTTTCGTTGAGGATATGCTCCTTTACTGAAAAATGTGATTGAACTCAGTCAACTTTTTATTCTGCTGAATATTCATCATGCTAGAATTATGCACATAATAATTGTTAATAGAAAATTAGATAATTATCAAGCACGAGAAAATTGTACTTTCAAAGATCAGTAAATTTGACAGTAAAATGCATTTTAACGTGGGAGAATGATTTAGCTTGTACATTGCATTTAATGCTGAATGACTAAGTAAATTTCTACTCTGAAACAAAAGCAAGTTAATCTGTCGATGTGAAGTAACTGTCATATGGATAATTTGGAGAAAAAATGTAATCGTCTCCAATTTTTTTTATGTTCATGTGTTGCAATTAATACCACAATGAACATGATTTTTTGCAGTATCTATCAAGATTTGATCAACTGTTTTTAAGGCACTATCTCTTCAGTCTGTTATACTTGTCCATTCCAGTATGATGGACTCTCTACACATTGTTTTGGTAAAATAGTTGGTAGTTATATTTTCGGTGTTCAAATTTTAGTAAATTTAAAAGCAAATGTTATAGACAAAGGCTCATATACCAACTGCTATCTAATGTTTGTCAAGTGTTGTAATTGTGTAGTGAAAGAAAGTCGTCACTGAAATGATATTTTGGTGTATCTGTGGTCTGATGCTTCTCAAGACAGATGACCATGACTGTACGAGCAATACCAGTGTAACTGAATTTCCTGTCCTTATCTGAAACTGAAAGCATGATTTTTGTTGCTAGAGATCAAGTACTGAAACTGTTTTCCAGTGTGAGAGTTGATAGGCTTATAAGTTTAATTTGCGTTGGTCCTTTTGAAGACATTCTTGATGGGATTAGTTTATTAGTATGTTGTCCCATAGAAGTCTGATTTCAAGTCAACTTGCCCTTATGGAAAATATTGGTTGGCTTGTTTGTGTGTAGGATGTATCCACATGACACTAAACATAGAATTGTACATCAGTTTAATTCACAAGGATTTTAACATGACGATTAATCATTTTAAGAACCTACCAATCCATTGAATTATGAACACTTGAATATGGAGCAGGAGTAGGCAATTATACCCCCCTTGCATGCTGTGCAGTTTAACAGGTTGAAGTATTGCTGCCTTTGCTTGGATGAACCAAAAAGGTGACGCTGATTAATGTTTCGGAAAAGCCACCAAGAAGTCCAAATTTATACTTGCAAAACAATGAACCATGAAAGCTACTTAAGTAACCTGGCTAGTTTTGTTACTTTGCTTTATTTATCCCTTAACTGTGTGTTTGTTTTGTTTATCTTTTGTCTGAATGCTTTTCTGAAAACAAATGTTTTGACTTTAAAGCACACACATTATTCAGCTTACTATGTTGTTTAATTTTCTCTCTGCTAGAGTTATTGTGTATCTAGTAGTTAAGTCTTTTGTTTTAAGATACAAAGCCAGTGCTTGGAAACTTATTTTCAAAGTCTGGGATTGGCTTTACAAACATCTAGTTGGGAACCATTGGAGTGACTATTTGGAGGGTCTTCAATGGTTTAGTGGTTGAAAGACTGATTTGGTTCTGTTGTAACGTGGAAGTCAAGGGATTGCAGTTTAGCAATATTGTTTTATTTTGTTTGAATTGTGTTTTTTAACTTCGTCATTTTTGGCTGTCCCTTTGATTCAAGGATAATGTCTCCTTCGGGTTCTGAGTTTTTGCCTTCGGTCCTCACGTGACCCAACAGGTTAATTCTTGATCAATATATCTTTGGGCATATGGGTAGATGTTCCAGTGGATAGCATAAATGGGTCATTTTTAACTTGGCAAGATGCATTGAGTGGGGTGCCACAGAGATTATTGCTGGTGCTTCAACTCTTTACAATTTATGTAAATGATCTGCATGACTGGTCAGAAGTTACGGTTGCTAAATTAGCTGATGTAGATTGGGAATGCAAGTTGTGAAGAAGAAATATGGAAGCTACAAAGTGATTGATTATGTTGAGTGAACCACGAAGCAAATGGATTATAATGTGGGAAATGTGAAATTGTCCATTTGTCAGGAAGAATAAAAAGAAATACATTATCTGAATTGTGGAGCTCCAAGATGCCTGGAGATCTGAGTGTCCTAGTGCATGAATTATAGAAGTTCCGTATGCAACTACAGCAAGTAATTAGGATTGTTAATAGCATATTAGCTTTTAATCTGTGAGGATTTGAATAAAAATGTAGGGATGTTATGTTCCAGCTACACGGTGCATTGGTGAGACTGCATTTGTCGTAATATTGATCATCTTTGTTAAGGAAAAATCTAAATGTTTTAGAAGCAGTTCAGAAACGGCGTAAGAGGCGACTGAATTCTTTAAAGCAGAAAACACTGAAAGGAGACTTAATTGAGGAGAATGGACAGGGTGGATAGGAATTTAACTGCTCCTTGCAGTTGAAGAGTCAATAATAAGGAAGCATAATTTTGAGGTGAAAGACTGGAGCTTTAGAGGGGATTTTAAGGAAATGAAAAGTTCACATAGGAATTTGGAATGCACTGCTTGAGTGGGTAGTTGAGGCAGGAAACCTCAAACCTTTAAGTAGTACTTGGATGAACACTTGAAATGTTGTAATATTCAAGGCTATGGGCCAAGTACTGGAAAGTGGGACTAGTGTAGTTTTAGACTAGTTTTTGTTGGTGCAGACTTGATGGAATGAAGGGCCTCTTCTGTACTATTTGATTGTATAATTCTGTTGACCACAACAGGGTTTCTCTTGTCCTCTCCTTTCACACACCAGCTTCCAAATTCAATAGACCACTTCCACCTCCAAGCGTACCTTGCCTGCCTCCTTTCAGCATTCCAAAGGGACCATTCCATCCATGATATCTTGGTCTGTTCCTCAGTCACTTTTGGTATCCTGCATCTGTTCCATGGCATCTT